GCTTAAATTTTCAAAATACTGTTTTATTTATAAGGTTGCTTACCTAAGTCTGGACAGTTCAGATTTATTATTCCAGCAAAATTACATTTTGGTATATCTATGGTATATCTATACCATAAATTTTGGTATAACCCTGGCCTATAACCATTCTGGATAGCTATTTGTCTGACATGGTATAGGGCGGGGTCAGCAGCCTTGTGGCTCTGGAGCCACATGTGGCTCTTTCACCCCTGCTCCCTGTTATTCAAAATATGCATCACAACTGCCAAGGTGCGACCCCCACCCCCACCCCCGGCACATGATTTATTGAGCTTTTCAACCCCCGTAGGCCAACCATGGATAAATCCAAGAAAAGAAAAATTCAGAAGAAAACAGAACGTTTAATTCAACTAAATATGCTAGTTTTGTGACTACTCAAGAAATAGTCAGGCACGGGAAGGGTTTTGTGGCTCCCGGTGTTTTCTTTTCTGTGGGAAACGGGTCCAAATGGCTCTTTGAGTGTTTAAGGTTGCAGACCAGTGGTGGGTTCCTCCCGTTTGGTCCGGTTTGGCCGAGCCAGTAGCGGGGACGATATGACGTCACCGAACCGTTCTCTCCGCCCCGCCCTCCCCCCCACCCCCCCCACGTTATTCTTACCTTTTATTTGGTCCCGCCCCCAATCTATTGCTGCCTCCTGAGTCCCAGCTGATGACTAGAGGGAAAAAAACTGTTTAAACTCTTGCCGCGGGGCTTCAAAGGGCCGCCCTACAGCTGATCAGTGTTAAAAGCAAACAAATGAGTCAGGTCGTAAGTGCGAGGACTGGTGGTAAGTGCAAGGACCTTCCAGAAATGAAGGTCTGACCAGCTAGCCACGCCCGCCTAGTCACATGACCTCCAAGCCACACCCACAAAATAAGCCACGCCCACAGAACCGGTAGTAAACAAATTTAGAACCCACCCCTGTTGCAGATCCCTGGTATAGGGCAGGGGTGTCAAACTCGATTTCATTGAGGGCCGCATCAGGGTTGTGTTTGATCTGGGGGGGCTGAGGGGGGGCATGGCCAGGGTAGACGTAGCCAACTCAACATCACTCGTGTCAGGGGTGCCTATGGTGGCCTGAGCGCTCTGCCAGCAAAAACGGGCTCTCGAGCCCCATTTTCAGCTGCAATGGCCTCCTGCAACCCACTGCCAGCGAAAACGGAGTTCGTGACGGCTGCATGCAGACCTCCCAAGCTCTGTTTTCGCTGGCAGAGGCATTGCAGGCCAGTCCTTTGCTGTTTCCAGGGTGGCCCTGCGGGCCAGATCCAAGCACCCCGCAGCCAGATCCGAGCCCCGGCCCTTGAGTTTGATACCTCTAGTAGTCTAGTAGTTTCCTGTTTGTGCAGGGGGTCGGACTACAGCAGGGGTCTCCAACCTGGGCAACTTTTAAGACTTGCGGACTAAAATTGTTGTCTAATTTTTAATAAAATTAAAAGATAGATAAATGTATTAATAGAGAAGTAAGAAAAGTGGGGGAAATGTCATAATAAAGGAATGATAATATTAAGATATGATAAATATTGGAGGAGTAAAAAGAAGACGTAAAAGATGTATTCAGAAGATATATTGAATGATTGATTATGTACTGTTTGTTTGTTTGTTTATAAAATAAAAAAACTTTTTAAATAAATAAATAAATAAATAAAAGACTTGTGGACTTCAACTCCCAGAGTTCAGAGTTGGAAGTCCGCAAGTCTTAAAGCTGCCAAGGTTGGAGACCCCTGGACTAGAGGACTTCCCAAAGGTCCCTTCCAAAGTCTTGTTATCCTGTTAAATACCTGAAATGTGCCCTGGGGGCAGAGTGGCTAAAGCGCAGTACTGCAGGGCAACCTCTGTCCAGATGCTCCACTCAGAATGCCATTTGCACACACAGGCACAGGAGTATGGTCTCTCTCCCTCTCTTTTGAGACTCCCCAGAATCTCCCGGTTGCTAAGATCCTGTTTGCAAAATGCTCTTTCAAGCACAGGGGGTTGGACTAGAAGACCTCCAAGGTCCCTTCCAACTCTTTTATTATTTTCTTCTATTCTATTCTTAGATCCTTGAAACATTTATTTATTTATATATTATATTATATTATATTATATTATATTATATATATTATATATATTATATTATAATTATATATATTATAATATTATATTATATTATATATATTATATATATATATTATTATATTATATTATTATTATATTATATTATATTATAATATATTATATTATAGTATAGTATAGTAATGTAATGTAATGTTATATTATATTAATTATATATATTATATTATATTATTATTATATTATATATTATATTATTATTATTATTATTATAGTATAGTATAGTATAGTATAGTATAGTATAGTATAGTATAGTATAGTATTGTAATGTAATGTAATGTAATGTAGTGTTGTATTGTATTGTATTGTATTGTATTGTATTATATTATATTATATTATATTATATTATTATATTATATTATATTATATATTATATTATATTATATATATTATATATATTATATTATTATATTATATTATTATATATTATATTATAATATATTATATTATAGTATAGTATAGTAATGTAATGTAATGTTATATTATAATAATATATATTATATTATATTATTATTATATTATATATTATATTATTATTATTATTATTATTATTAGTATTATATATAGTATAGTATAGTATAGTATAGTATTGTAATGTAATGTAATGTAATGTAATGTTGTATTGTATTGTATTGTATTGTATTGTATTGTATTGTATTATATTATATTATATTATATTATATTATATTATATTATATTATATTATATATAATATTATATTATATTTATATTATATTATATTATATATATTATATTATATTATATATATTATATTATATTATATATATTATATTATATTATATTATATTATATTATATTATATTATATTTGTGTACCACCTTTCTCCCATAGGACTCAAGGCAATGTACAGTCAAGAAAAATATAGATACACAAACATCATAAAATTGCTAATTAAAATTATTATTATAACATATAATAATGGGGGAGGGGGAAGAATTTTGCATTTCCCTTGAGCATTGAGACCCACAGCCGGAGCAATCCATCCCACGTGGCCCTCGGTCAGATCCCACGCAGAAAAAGTTGGAAGGGCCACCAAAGCAGCAGCTGCTTCCCTCCGTTTTGACCCGGCCAGAAGTCCCGGTGCATTGGAAGAGCCGCATAAAACCCCTTCAAAGCAGGTGACCAAGTGGCTTTTTTTAATGCACGGAGACGCGCAAGTGAGCCGAGGCTGCAGTTCCCTTCCCCGACCGACCCCCACGCGCCCCACACGGGCCATCCGGACGGAGCAAGAACCGGCAGGCTTCCCGTGCCCCGCAGCCCCGCCAATGGCTCTGGCTCCCCTTTCCCTTCCTTCACCGCTTCGCCAGCTCAGGCTGGGAAGGATGCGCCCTGGAGTCGGTCGGACAACATCTGCGGAAGGCCCCAGGGATGACGCGGGGGGGGGGGGGGAGGCTTGGCGAGCCGTTTCAGATGAGCCTCAGCGCCCCCCCCGCCCGCCCCCTTGGCCGAAGGAAAGGGGGGGGTGAAGAGCCATTACCCCAAGCCTCTGGCTTCCCAGCTGGACTATCCCAAAGGGAGGGAGGGAAGGAAGGAAAGCAGGGAGGAGGAAAGAAAAAGAAGGAAGGAAGGAAGGAGCGAGAGAGACTGAAAGGAGGGGGAGGAGAGGAAAGAAGAGAAGAGGGAGGGAAGGAAGGATGGAAGGAACGAACAAACGAAGAAAGGAAGGGGAAAGGAGAGGAGAGGGGAGGAAGGAAAGAAGGGAGGAGGAAAGAAAAGGAAGGAAGGAACTAAGAAAGGAAGGGGAAAGGAAGGGGAGGGAAGGAAAAAAGGAGGGAGGAAGGAAGGAGCGAGAGAGACTGAAAGAAGGAGAGGGGAGAGGAGAAAGGAAGGAAGAACTAAGAAAGGAAGGGAAAGGAGAGGGAAAGAAGGGAGGGAGGGGAGGAAAGAAAAAGAAGGAAGGAAGGGAAGAGCGAGACACTGAAAGAAGGAGAGGAGAGGGAGGAAAGGAAGGAAGGTACGAACGAACGAAGGAAGGGAAAAAGAGAGGGGAGGGAGGGAAGGAAAGAAGGGAGGAAAGAAAAAGAAGGGAGGAAGGAGCGAGAGAGAGAGACTGAAAGAAGGAGAGGAGGAGAGTACAGGGAGGAACGAACGAACGAAGAAAGGAAGGGGAAAGGAGAGGGAAGGGGAGGGAGGAAAGGAAAGAAAAAGAAGGAAGGAAGGAAGGAAAGAGCGAGACACTGAAAGAAGGAGGAGAGGGAGGAAAGGAACGAACGAACGAAAGGAAGGGGGAGGGAGGGAAGGAAAGAAGGGAGGAAAGAAAAAGAAAGGAGGAAATGAGGAAAGAAAGAAAGCGAGAGAGACTGAAAGAAGGAAAGGAGAGGGAAGGAATGAAGGAAAGAAAAAAGGAGCAAGAAAGACAGAAAAAGAGGGAGGGTCTGAAAAAAGGAAAGAAAAAAAACCAGAAAAGGCAAAAAGGAGCGAAAAACCGAAAAAGAAAGAAGCGAGAGAGGCTGGAAAGAAGGAGAGGAAACCAAAGGAAGATCTTTGCCGGGAGATCCTGGCCCAAAGCCGCCCACCTTCCCCTCCTAAAGCGGCACCGTCACCCAGCCTGCCGATGGTCGCGATATCCCGGCGGGGAGGGCGGCCAAACCAACTCCCCCTCCCCCCCCACCTCCCCCTCCCCTTCCACACACACCCCGCCAGCAGCGCTTTAGCTGGTGGGCGAATCCAAGGCGGGGGGGGAAGAGAGGAAGCGGTAGGAGATCATCGCCGCAGCTCCCCCACCCCCGCGCGCCGGCTTCCGCCGCCCCTTCCCCTTCCTCCCCAGGTGGTACTGCCTCCCGCGCCAGAGTCCTTGCTGGGCGGAGCCTTCCCGTGGGGGGGAAGGAGGGGGGCGGAGGAAAAGGGGCGGAGTTGGCGCTCAACAGCCGGCGCCGGTTACAAGCGAAGGGGGCTGGGAAAGCGAGCGGCCGGTCCCGCCAACCTTCGTCGCGGGAGAAGGAAACGAAAGAAGGAGAGAAGGAAAGGAAAGAAAGGAAGAAGCGGAGGAAAGGAAAGAAGGAAAGACGCTGCCGATCCCCCCCCCCGATCCATCCTTCCTTCCTTCCTCCCACCTTCCCCGCCCGCCTTTTGCGGGAGCAGCGGCCGAACGAGGAGGAGCAGCAGCAGCCAGACGGGCAGCCGAGCCCGAGTGGCGGCGGGGATGAACAGCTCCGAGGAGGACGCAGGTGGGCAGGGGCGGCGAGGGCAGGGACGGAGGGCCACGCTCGGCCTGCCGGGTAGAAAGCGCCGGTGTCCGGGGTGCTGCTTTCCGGCCCGATCTAACCTCCCCTTCCTTCCTTCCTTCTCTTTTCAGGTGCCAGCCCAGTGCCCAGTCCGGGCTTCCCCACCTTCGACGAGGTGAGTCCCCCAACGCGGTCGGGAGGGGAAGGGCGGGCGACGGACGGAGGGAGGGGAAAAAAAGGCAGCGGCAGGGCGGAGGAGACAAACCGGGGCGAGAAAGAGAGAGAGAAGAGGGGATTCATCCGTTCCCTTTGCGCCCCGCTTTCCCGAACCGGCCGGTCTCCGAATCGTGTGGGTGTGCGTGGCCGGGGGTGGGGTGGGGGGCATGGAAAGAACCGCTGCCTTGAGAGCGGGGCGGGCGGAGCGGCTGCTTTCTCCCGGCGGGGGCGGCGCTCCCGGGTGTCTTTGGCGCGACGGCGGCTCCGCCCCGGCTTCGGAGTTTTGGCATTGGCCGTCCCGCGTTTTCCCGACCCCGGCAGCTTCTTTTTTTTTAATGTGGGAAACTGAACGAGGCTGAACGGCTTCTTCTTCTCCCGGGGGAGTCCGCCGGCGAAGTTAAAACCTCCCGGCTCTTTTTTTTTTTTTTGCCAGGACGGCGGTGTCGGTGGCGGCGGCGGCGGCTTCCCCGGCGCCATCTTAAGCGGGTGGGAGCGTGGGGAGGGTGAGGGGAGGGGACGCCCCTCAGAGGTGTCCTTGGCTCGAGCCTGACCGGCGTCCTGAGGGGATTTTTTTGCGTGTGGGTGTGTGAGGGAAAGTTCGCTTTTGGCCCGTTTTTTTTCTTTTGAGGGGAGGGGACGGTAAACGGGACGGCGAGGGTTTGTTTTTTTGCCGCCGGCTCTCCACGCGCTCCTCAGCTTCTTCGTGTTTTATAGGCGGCACGACTGGATGGCCTTTGGGGGGATGGTGGGGTTTTTGCCCTCCTCCTTAGAGCAGTGTTTCTCAACCTCGGTAGCTTGAAGATGGGTGGACTTCAACTCCCAGAATCCCCCAGCCAGCCGGAGCTGGCTGGGGGATTCTGGGAGTTGAAGTCCACCCATCTTCAAGCTACCGAGGTTGAGAAACACTGTCTTAGAGGATTCCCCCTCCCTCTTTTTTGGGGGGGGTGTAAGGAAAACCTTGTCCCAATTTCTCTCCCCCCCCTTTTTTTTTTTTTTTTTTTTGAGGGGAATGGAACAAGGTTTTCCTTACACCCCCACCTGCCTCTCCTCAGGTCTTAGTGTGGATAATAGAATAAAATAGAAAATTCTTGATTGGCCAAGTGGGATTGGACACACAAGGAATTTGTCTTTGGTGTATATGCTCTCATAAGGAGAATAAAATACATTCATCAAGAATAAAAAGATACAACGCTTAGTGATAGTCAAGGTTACTAATAAGCTCTCAAATCTGCAATTAAAGTAAGATCGAATCTCGCCAGGCTGAAGGTTGACTCAGCCTTCCATCCTTTCTAAGGTAGGTAAATTGAGGACCCAGTTTGTGGGGGCAATAAGCTGACTTTGTATAAAAATATACAAAAGGATGAAGGCTATTGCTTAACGCACTAAGCCGCCCTGAGTCTCCGGAGAAGGGCGGCATATAAATCAAATTTAAAAAAAAAAATCTGTACTAGGAAACAAGTAAAAACAATGTAAATTGAAAGATCCTGGCTTAGAGGATTCCCCCCACCCTCTTTTTTTCGGGGTGTAAGGAAAACCTCCCAATCCCCCCTCTTTTTTTTTTGAGGGGGGAATGGGATAAGGTTTTCTTCCCCCCCCCCCCTAACCTGCCTCTGCTCAGGTCTTAGTGTGGATAATAGAATAAAATAGAAAATTCTTGATTGGCCAAGTGGGATTGGACACACAAGGAATTTGCCTTAGGTGCATATGCTCTCCAGTGTGCATAAGGAGAATAAAATAACATTCCTTGAGAATAAAAAGATACAATGCTTAGTGATAGTCAAGTTTACTAATAAGCTCTCAAATCGTACTAGGAAACAAGTAAAAACAATGTAAATTGAAAGATCCTGGCTTAGAGGATTCCCCCCCACCCTCTTTTTTTTCGGGGTGTAAGGAAAACCTCCCAATCCCCCCCCCTTTTTTGAGGGGGGAATGGGATAAGGTTTTCCTCCCCCACCACCACCCACCCCCAACCTGCCTCTGCTCAGGTCTTAGTGTGGATAATAGAATAAAATAGAAAATTCTTGATTGGCAAGTGGGATTGGACACACAAGGAATTTGCCTTAGGTGCATATGCTCCAGTGTGCATAAGGAGAATAAAATAACATTCGTGGAGAATAAAAAGATACAATGCTTAGTGATAGTCAAGGTTACTAATAAGGTCTCAAATTGTACTAGGAACAAATAAAAACAATATAATTGAAAGATACAAGCAACATGGTCAGAGTAGTAAGTGGGAAGAGAGATACTAGGAAGGAAGAGAAGAAGAATAGTAATACAGCCTTAGTAAATTATTTTGACTGTTGTGAGAATTAGTTGTTAAGCAAGAGTGATGGCTTTGGGGGGGAAACTTGTGTCTTGTTGTTTTGGTGTGCAGTGCCCTATAGCGTCAAGATTCCCAAAAAAAGAAGGGAAAGCTCTTGGTGGATCTGCCCCTTTTTTAGTCTCAGGGTCACCTTCTTGTGGCTTTTATCTCCTTCCCTCCATCCCTCAAAAGATGGGTTGCAGTTAGGGGCAGTGTCTGTTTTGTTGTGACGATCTTTTTCTCCTTTCATATCTGCCCCCCCCCTTCCTGTTTTGAGATTTGGCAGGAAAGCCTAGTGGTTTTTTTTAGGGAATTCCCCCGTTCCTGGCCTTCGAGCCATTCAGACGACTTTCTCTTCTCTAAATGTAACTGGAGGCACTCTGGGTAACCAGATGGGTGGCCCATAAATTGAAATTTAATAGATGGAAGAAACCTCCGTGAGGAACAGCATTTCTTAGTATGGATAACAGAGTTGGAAGGGACCTTGGAGGTCTTCTAGTCCAACCATCTGCTCAGGCAGGAAACCCTATAACATTTCAGACAAATGGTTGTCCAATCTCTTCTTAAAAACTTCCAATGTTGGAGAATTCACAGCTTCTGGAGGCAAGTTGTTCCACTGGTTAATTGTTCTAACTGTCAGGAAATTTCTCCTCAATTTCTCCTCAAGGAGGTTGCTTCTCTCCTTGCTTAGTTTCCATCCATTGCTTCTTATCCTGGCTTCAGCTGCTTTGAAGAATAGGTTATTCCCCTATTCTTTGTGGCAAACTCACAAAAAAGGGGATATATATACAGCCCCTGCCCACCTATCAGTTCGAAAGCAGGCAAATGCAAGTAGATAGATAGGTACCTACCAACCACTTTACTGGAAAGATAACAGAATGTGCCTTTGGTGCATAGCCATGCTGGCCACATGACCCCGGAAAATATCTTTGGATAACATGGGCAATGACCACCATGACTGACAGAGAAACCTTTACCTTAGGACATGAGGCAAGGAACGAAGGACCCCTTTTACTTTAGAGGGTACCTGTCCTGCCTCCTTCTCAACTTTGGGGGCTGGAGCCATGGGCCAGCTTGACAGAGCATTTCATCAGTATTATTTATTAAATTTATAGGCTACCCAGCCCATCTCACTATCACATATTGGGTCAATTTGAGCCCAGGCTTTTGCCAAAAAGAGAGAGAGAGATTGTTGTGGCATGCTTCAAATTGAGGAGGTAGGATGTTAAGAATTCAGCAATCTCCCTTGTTTTGGCTGGAATCTGATCTCCAGCTTTCCTTTGTCTGCAGGCAAACCAACTTGTTTGCTTTGACTGCGGTGCCTGCAGGGAAATGTCTCCACACTTCCACACCATTATCATTGTTATTATCATCTTCCCCATTAAATAGCAGGAGAGTTCCTTTCCCTGGAGATCAGGCTCTGAGATTTACTGCTGGAATTCACTCCCTTTCTCTTTGGTTTTGGAAACGAGAAAAAACCACAGGGCCAAGCTGTCCTTTCGGTTGTGATAAGATATTGGGTGGCCTCTCTATTTTCCCCTTGTTTAGAATATCTTGGGAAAGCTAAATGTCCCAACGGTTAAAAAACAAAATTTTCGTCCTTGTGTTACGTAACAGAAGCTGGGATCCTCAGGGAAGTGACAATACTCATTGAGGCAGAAAGCATGTTTTGGCTATAAAAATGCCTTGTGGCTGTATCCCCCACATCATCCCTTAACTTGGTCTTTAGAATAGCTGATTTTCCCTGTTTGTAAAACTAGACCAGTGTTTCTCAACTTTGGCAACTTCAAACTAAAGATGGGTGGACTCCCAACTCCCAAGATTTCCCCAGCCAGCTTTCTGGGGCACTGTAGCTTGGAGTGAAAGATAATAAAGGAAGACATGATACAGGTGTGGAAGTGTATAAAATCACACAAAGGTTAACCATTGGGCAAATTGAGTTCATATGGTTGGAACTCAAGGTCATTGACTGAGATTCAGGACTGAGAAGGAAGCATTTTCCATCTGGTGTGTAATTAAATATTGGAGAGAGAGAGAGAGAGAGAATATTTGAAGACTTCAAATATTTGCAGCTGGGAAGCCACAGTGGAGGGAGCTGGTGAGCTTTCTAAAAGCATTCAGATGTCCACTGGATGATCCAGAAGGCCAGCCCACATCCTTTGGGCCAGATCGGAGCTCTTCTTGTGTTGGTGCCACACCAGAATCCGCCACACAAACCAAGCTTAGCTGCTGCTTGAGATGCATTCACGTTTTTTTTCCTGACCTGGTGTTGATTGTCAGAAACATTGAGCAGGACAATGCAATGGCCTGCTTCTGAGTGAGAGAGGTGCTTACATTTAGATAGCAAGCAATCCTCCTTAAAGGGTATTTTGCTCACAGTGCTGACCAAGGATATATTGGCACGATGGTAGGTTTTTTGTATGGGTACGATGGGCAATGATCTATGGAACTGAATAGGGTAGCCTAAGTTTTGTCAATCAACTTGTGTTTTCATGACATATTTATGCTCAGCTAGTTTGTTAACATTGTAAAAGGATCCAATAAAGGAGAATATTTATAGCTCAGGGTTGAAATGAGGGATCCTTGGTGCTCTCTGAGCTTGCTTGTGTTCTTGCAGACGTTTTATTACCCTAATCAGGTATCATCATCAGTGCTAGTAAGGAGTGCTGTTTGCTGTCAAGTTTATATTCTGCTGTCTTGCCTGTCCATGTAGGTGGAGTGTGTGTGTGTGTGTGTGTGTGTGTGTGTGTGTGTGTGTGTGTGTGCTTTGAGATTCTTGGTTGGGCTGTTTACTGATGGCTCTTCAGCGGTTTCCTGATTGGGGTCCTGTTTACTTGATTGTTTTGGTTTGAAGTTAAAACTATTGTAAGAGGATATTGAGATCCAGACGTGTAAACCCATGTATCTTTGCAGCCACCCCAGAAAAGACAGAGAACTGTAGAAGACTTCAATCAATTCTGCACTTTTGTGCTAGCCTACGCAGGCTACATTCCCTACCCAAAAGAGGTAAGAAATGTGGAATCGAGCCCTTGGCCCTTTCTCTGCCTTCCTTCCTCCCTAGCCTGGGTGCTGAAATATCAGTATCTGTATGTGGGAGAGACCCTATATTATTCTACAGCAGGGGTCTCCAACCTTGGCAACTTTTAAGACTTGTGGACTTCAACTCCCAGAGTTCCTCAGCCAGCAAAGCTGGCTGAGGAACTCTGGGAATTGAAGTCCACAAGTCTTAAAGTTGCCAAGGTTGGAGACCCCTGTTCTACAGGAATCCCCATTCTCTCCCATCTTCAATAAGGCAAATCACACAGCTTTTTCTTCTTTTTTTCCATCCCCAGAATGAGCCATGGACATACCGAGGCAACAGGAGCCCCCAGAACAGCACCGGAAGCACCCAAGACAGCGACAGTTGGGGATCGTCCCAGTCCTGCGACTCCCAAGTGCTTTCAGACGACGGAGGGAGCAGGAACATGGCCTACAAGGGGGCAGGAGAGCTGCTGACCTGCCCCAATATAACCGGTAGCTTTTGCACTGGTCAGCACCCGCAAACCAAGAAGAGAAAGCCGTCGTCCAAAAAACTCAACATGAACCAGGCGGCGGACAAGGGCTTGATGCCCCTGATGGACCATTCACAGAGAACGCCCGAGACTTGCACGGAAGTGAAGGAGCTGGAATCCTGTCTCCCAGAGCTCCCATCCAGACCTCTGCTGGAGCAAACGGAGAAAGACTCTATCCCTGGACTTTACTCCGAAGAGAAGACTGAGGAACAAGGGACATGCAAAGAGGAGAGAAACGCCTCTGCCTCTTGGGACACGGTGGAGCAAAGCACAGAAAAACCTGCAGAAGACGCCCCTCAACTTAGCAGTAAGTCTGCAAGTACTGGTGCTCTTAGAACAAGGGCTGTCAAACTCACAGTCCATGGTCCAGATGCGTCACACGCTGGTCACGCCCACGCATGGTTTAGTGAAAGGGAAAGTCAAGATACGTCACATGACAATGCTGTGTCGAGGCGAGTTTGACACCCCTGTCTTTAGAAGAAGGTTGACACCCAATCCACCCCTTAACCAGACACAGCAGCTAATCTTGATCCATCTAACCCATGAGCCTTTAACACAGAGCGGTGTTTTCCAACCTCAGCAACTTTTAGAGACGTGGACTTCAACTCCCAGAGTTCCCCAGCCAGCATCAAGCAGAGTTTCCCCCAGCCGTTTTTAAGACTTACGGACTTCAACTCCCAGAATTCCCCAACCAGCATGGCTGGCGGAGGAATTCTGGAAGTCCACAAGTCTTAAAAGTTGCCAAGGTTGGAGAGCCCTGCTTTAAAGGGATCAGCTCCTCCTGTAGATCTGCTGTGATTAACCCTTAAATAGACCTAGGCAACCCATCCAGATGTTCATTTTCTTTTGGATACTCGCAGCTCCTCCAACGGTTCAAGTTTGCTCTGAACTCGCGATGCCCCGTTTGCATGATAGTATGCAAATGGCTGGAGAATTCTGGGAGTTGAAGTCCACCCATTCGAAAGTTGCTGGGTTGGGAATCACTGTCTTAGAGAACTGGTGGAAGTGACCTGGCTTGTGTCCTCCCTGGGAATGATCCTATTACTTTTGAGGAGGGCTAAATGATGCTATTTTCCCCAAAGTTAGTGGAGTTTGTGCATGGAGAGATTAGGCAACATTTTACGGTGTAACATCAGGAGCCAATAAGCTGCAAGAAGTTTGATTTAGAATGGTTGGCTCCTTAACCAATTAAAGGCCTAGTAGCTGCTTTATCAATTTTACATGGCCTGCTCTTTTTAGGTCGAAGGATGCTGTGCAAACTGTGGCAATGAGCAGCATAAAGTGGGCACTCTTCTTTACCTGATATTTTTCTCTCTCTCCCCTCTCGCAGATCTGCCTGAAGAGTTTACTGCAGCCTCAGACACCAAAACAGATGGTAAGTTAAGGGGCAGTATTGCCAGCTGCCAGTAGGGGGAGCAAATGCATTTTAGTTTGATTCTTTAATAAACCCACAGAGCCACAATTCTCAATCTGGCAATTTTTATGACCTGTGAGGTTCAATTCCCAGAATGCTGTGCTGCTGGAGAATTCTAGGAATCGAGGCACACACGTCTTTATAATTGCCAGGGTTGAGAAATGCAGCCATAGAGGCTCATTTACATGCATGCATGCATGCATTCGAACTAAGGCTGTTTTGTGCATACTTTTGTATTACTGTACTTTTCGGAGTATAAGACGCACTCCCCCCCCCCCCCTGGGGGGGGAGAGGTTGGTGTGTTTTAATCCCCAAAATACAGCCATTTTTGGCCTCCCGAAGCCCTGCCCCGTGCATCCCGTTTTTGCGAAACACGGGCCCGTTTTTTGCAAAAACAGGGCGCGCAGAGGGTTTGGGAGGCCTGCAGAGTGCTCCTGGGGGCTGGGGAGGGCAAAAAGTTTTTTTTTTTCTTGCTTACCTCTTCAGTCCGAAAAATACGGTATTTATTCATGCTCATGTAGTGTATGCGACGAAAGTGGTGACCCATTGAGAGGTGTATGCGACGTAATTTCATTTGAATGTATGCCAATTAGTGTACGTTTAAAGTGACAAAGTTATTCTAAATTCTATTCAATCACTACAGGCACGGCATTTAAAGCGTTTTGCATGAAGGAAGTGGGTTGAAAATGAAAGGAAGTTAAAGCAGCTAATTTTACAGCCCTCTTTAAGGCAGGGGTCCCCAACCCCCCAAGCTGCAGCCCAATACCGAGCTGCGGAAGTAGCATGTGTGCATGTGAAGCTCCATTTGCACGAGCAGCGTGCACCAATGGAGCGTGCACATGATTGCCCGCTGTTCACGCGGAACCATCCCCTCTCCTCCCCCCACCACTCGGTCTGCAAAGCCAGAAGGTTGAGGACTGCTGTTCTAAACAGTCTAAGAAAAAACACTTCATTAATCAGTGTTAGATTGGGGTATGGCTAGCTGAGAAAAACAAGCAATTGTGCCATTCATAAATCCTCTTCTTTCCTCTTTTTTACACAGAAGACGACGCTTGGGACCTCATCACTTGCTTCTGCTTAAAGCCCTTTGCCGGGCGACCCATGATCGAATGCAATGAGTGCACGACTTGGATACACCTCTCCTGCGCCAAGATCCGCAAGTCCAATGTGCCCGACGTCTTCATCTGCCAACGCTGCCGCGACGCCAAGCAAGAGATCCGCCGGTCCAACAGAGCCCGGACCGTCCCCCGCAAGCGCTTCTGTGACTGACTATAGCCGGGAGATGGAGGAAGGGCCGCCCTTCCCTCCAAAGCTTCAGTTGGATATTATTATTATTATTTTTGCTGCCAAGACAATCAAAATGCAGGAACTGCCCTAGGGAAGAGACCGGAGGCAGCCCTGGAAATTTCCAAGACTTTTTGACACGCGTGTCTTATTCCAAATGTTGAAAATTGGGGAAGAGGAAGACACTTGAGGTGCTGTTGAGATCTCAGGGTTATGCTAGAGCAGCAAATGCACAAATGCCTGGCAGACACATGAGAGACTGTTGGGGAGGGAATGGGAATTTACCTGCAGGCAATGCACTAAGTCAGCCGGTAGCCTCTCTGCCCTTGCGCAGAGGTGCCTTTTCTCAGCAGCCTAAAGGGAGTTGAGCCCAAGCAAGATTTTTCTGTGGTACGCTAGCTGCTCGGACTTTAAATGTGTCGGATCATGCGCCCCGTTTTGTGGTTTGTTCTTTGCCCCTTAGAACGGTGGGTTGGGAAGCTCCTCGACCTCTTTCCCAAAAGCACACTTCAAAGGGGTCCAGTCCCCTTCCCCCTTGTACACACACATAGAGAGAGGGTTATTTTGCAGCCCATTTAGAGAGATCCATTCTCTGCCCCCAGGACAACTGGCACCCCGCTTCGGAGCTTCCCCATCCTTTCAGCATTCGAGCGAGACGCCATGCTATATAAGCCAGGCTAGTCACCGTTGGATCAGGAAAGGGGTGATAATATTCTCCAACTGTACATACTTGGTATGCAGAGGCTTAGAAAATATTTAGCTCTATCTACTCGACTCACTGGCCTAGCCTAGACTTCCGGTTGCACTACTGTCTTATTTGAAGGGAACGTGGGACTTGGGAGGGGGGGGGGGGGGAGAGGGAACCGAGAACACATAGCTGTAGAACCTTTTTAGGAGCTAAAAAGGGGAGACTTCCTTCCCCCCCCCCCATCCCAAAGGTAGATGGATGGTGAGGCACCTGGCAGAAGCAGATTGGGTCCTGCTTGTCTCCAGGCTGCTCTTGGGAGAGCAATCTGGGGATTTCTTTAAAGAAGAAAAAAAAGAGTGAAGATCTGTGTACTATGCAAACTACTGGTGGTTCCTGGGGAAATTGCGCCAGCAAGCAAATTTTGCTTGTTTGGAGATGATTTGCCACTCTTCCCCTGCTCCCATGTGCCTTTTTCTTTCATCTCATCCTTCAGCCACGCTGAAAGTTCTGTCCTGATGGCACACGGATAATATTGCAGTTGTTTTCATTTGGGTTTTTTTTTTTCCGGTTTGAAACAGGCTACACCTGGTCACTGCTTAAAAAAGCAAAAATCCAGCCCTAATTTATGATCCCATCAGTACCTCTGCTCCCCTTGAGTGTTTACATTTTTACGATTAGCCTCTATAAAAATGTAAGGTAGCACAGTAACAATGCTGTATACTGGGTATATACTGAGTGATACGTATAGATTAAAATACTTTTAAAGCAGCTCTCCGTGCTTCATTTCAATGCAGATCAAACCACTTTTTTTATCGCCACATTTGCGCACAAGGCCCTTGTCCTAATTTTTCAGTTTGCCCAATACTCTCCTAAAGGTAAAAGGTTCCCCTAGTACATATGTGCTAGTCGTTCCTGACTCTAGGGGGTGGTGCTCATCTCCGTTTCAAAGCCAAAGAGCCAGCGCTGTCTGAAGACGTCTCCGTGGTCATGTGGCTGGCTTGACTAAATGCCAAAGGCGCACGGAACCCTGTTCCTTCCCACCAAAGGTGGTCCCTATTTGTCTACTTGCATTTTTTACCTGCTTTCGAACTGCCAGGTTGGCAGAAGCTGGGACAAGTCACGGGAGCTCACCCCATTACACGACACTAGGGATTCGAAATGCTGACCTTTCGATCAACAAGCTCAGCATCTTAGCCACTGAGCCACTCTCCTAGTTTAGTTTAAATCCACTCATGTTTCACAATTGTTTCCTCTTGCTTGCTGCCCCACAAGTAGTCCTCAATTTATGCCTGTTCAATTAGCGACCATTCAGTTACAATAGCCACCTGCCCCAAAACTACTATGACCTGGCTCTGATGCCCCATCCCCACCCCATGCAGTCACATGAACACATTTGGGCACTGGGCAACTGCCCTGCATTTGTGTGCATTAGTACTGTCCCATGGCCAGATGCGTGCACAATTTTATTTTTTTTTTGCCAGAAAAACCAGCATTTACTTCCGGTTCCCAAGAAAAGCTGGCCTACGGTGAACAATGGGCTTTGCTTAATGACTGCTGCAAGGGAAAAGTCCATAAAATCAGGTCAGTCACTTGAGCAGCAATGCTTTGCAACCTTCAGGATTGTTAACTGCTGGGCTCGATGGTCATAAGATCTGTCTCTTGTGTAATCGGGTGGGCTGCTGGGGTAAGCTAAGATTCTGTGCAGTTTGGAGAACCCCCCCCCCCAAATCCCACTCCTGGTTGGCCCCTCATATCCCGCCCCTCCCAGGAGTCCCCATGCAGCCCGTTTTGGATGCAGGTAAGTGCAGGGTGTGCATGGAGGCTCAGGGAGGACGAAAAATTGGCCTACCAGAAGTTTGGGCCTCCAGAGCCTGGGGAGGGCAAAAATGCCCCTTCCCCCCGGGCTGTAGGAAGCTGACTAGGCCACACCCACCATGGCCACACCCACCCAACAACTGGGGAAAGAACCCCTTGCTGAAATTTTTGAAGCCCACCCATGTGTAATTGAAAGTAAAGTTGGAAATTAAGATGCTAAAATAGTCGCTTAAAGCAGGGGTCTCCAACCTTGGCGACTTTTAAGACTTGTGGACTTCAACTCCCAGAGTTCCTCAGCCAGCTTTGCGTTGAAGTCCACAAGTCTTAAGAGTCGCCAAGGTTGGAGACCCCTATCTTAAAGAGCTGACCTTCCTAGATAAACTGTAATCCTTGGCTTGTGTACTCCTTTGGCACATTAACATTCATAATCCCATTAATAGTTAATTTTTAAAAAGATAGATTTGGAATCTCGGGCTCAACAGTTCACCCTTACGGTTGAAAATAAGAGATGGCAACTCCACTGTTTGATTTTTCTTCCATACGGTTTCCTGCATTTAAAAGCTTATTTTCCAGTCATCCCATGATCTCTCTTGAGAGCAGAAAAGGCACAAAATGAACTCTCAACCCCTGCCTTCGACAAAAAGAAATTAGAATACAGTTAGCCATAATAGATAGTAAAAATAGTAACGAACCCTATTTTTTCAAATTCTGTTTCTGGTTGCGCTATAAAAGACCAACGGGACAACATCTAGCATAGATGATTTTTATTTTCATAACAAAAGCCCCAGTGGGCAAACAAGTAATTGTTAATGTTGTCTCAAAGAAAAATATCACAAGATTTCTTTACAAAAAAAAGTCAGTTACAATCCGCCCCCCCCAAAAAAAATTACATTTTTAATTATAATTTTTTAAACACTTTTCAAAAAGTTGCAATTCCCTCAAAATGTATCTTTTTTAATTACAGTTTTTTTTTTATATATATATATATATAAACTTTCCTAAGCAAAGATGCACTTCTACTGTGCTGAAATAAGACCGGGTCAGCATTATCTATCCTCTTGCCTAAATGATAAATCTAACTTTCTCTACCACTGGATGTAACAGATCATTCTGGATACGTAACCGAGAGCATGCAGGAAACGGAAGAGTTTGATTTATTTGGATCCATGTTCAAAACCTTAGCAGCTCCTTAATGAACCGGGGTTACTTTCTTCCATTCAACTTGTGGCCTTCATTATCACACTGGATATTTCTTGGATAACGCAGGTTCCAGGAAATACTGACAACAGGTTGGATGAGGACAATTTAGCTCTGCCTGCGGATTGAAACGTGAAAGTATTCCGTTGTAAGCGCATCCCGTTTTCCAGGTCCTTTTAGCGTTTCTGGTAAAGTTACTGCGTCTCAAGCAAAAACCATTTTCATTTCTGAGATCGTCTCCGTGGAAAATATCTGGAAATAGAAATCTAGAAATCTGAAAGCAGCTAAGTCCAGAATGTCTTATTTTTTTTTTAAACTACCTTTACCTGCCTGGTCAGGTAAAGAGAATAACCAATGATGTTTTGTGATGCAGGAGAAAAACTGGGGCCGCTCTAGATATCATTTGTCTGTTCTATAGTAGGCTGAGGGCGCTTTGCACGTTCCCAGGAGGAATGCAGCTTTCTAAAATGCTAACTGAAAGGCACACAGAGAGAGAGAGAGGCAGACTATACTCTAGGCCAGAGGTCTTCAAACTTGGCTGCTTTAAGACTTGTGGACTTCAATTCCCAGAATTCTCCAGCCAGCATAACATAACTGGCTGGAGAATTCTGGGAGTTGAAGTCCACAAGTCTTAAAGCGGCCAAGACCGCTTTAAGACCTCTGCTCTAGCGCCAATGTTTCTCCAGTTAAGATAGTGTAGACTTCAACTCCCAGAATTCTCTAGCCGCTTAGGGAATTCTGGGAGTTGGAAGTCCACCTCTGAAAACCACCCAGGTTGAGAAACACTGCTCTAGGCCACTCTGCAGAATTTACAAAGCTGCCTTCAGACACAAAAAAGCCGCAACTGATTCTGGTCCTCTTGGGAGAAGAAAGGATAAAAGGAGAACGGGTTAAACAGGTTGAAGGCGCATCTTCTGAAGAAAGAAAGAAAAAAAAGAAGAAGAAGAAAACATCAGAAACTTCCCACAGCTTCACTCTTCGCTGGCCCAGACAGCAGAAGAGCTCTTCTCCTCCAGGTAAGGCACCACGGCATCCGTGTAGAACTTCTCCAGCTTGGGGGCTGTTTGCTTCCAGAAAACCGGGTCAAAATCCACGGGGGTGATTGCGGTTTGTTTGTTGGTGTGAACGACAAAATCAGTTTTCTTCAGGCCGGAGGCTTTCATCTGACACTGAACTTGGGTATAATAGGGATGAGTTTTCTTCAACGAGTAAGAACTGCCCTCGTTTTCCAGGCAGAAGGTCTGATCTCGGCAAGCTTCGTCCACCGTCTTGTTTCTGTGTTTATAGGGGCACTTCACTTCCAAGAGACGAAGATCCTTGCCGGTATTGGCGTCTTGGACAATGCCATCGGGGCTGGCGGCCAGCCAGGGCTTGTCTTTGTCGACAAAGATGCCGCAGTCTTTCACCTTCACCGGTTTCTTTGCCGTGGACTTGAGGGCTTCGTAAGCTTGCACTGCCTTCTTCTCATTGCGGACTCCCCAATTCATAGCCGGGGTCTGTACCCCCGATCTCGATCCCACCACTTCATTCAGGTACGACTGAGGCACTTCCGCCGTCCGGCCGTTTGCAAACTTGCTGTTGGAGATCTTGGGAGCGATGGAAGCCGTGATGCGGTTCTCGCGCCACTTGTGCCATTCGGGGTTTCTCCACTGGCCCCGGGTTTCCCTCTCGACCTCAGCCACTTTTTCAGGGGAGAGGGGCGCAGGCAGGCCCCTCGCTCTGCCTTGGGTTTTGCTCGCGGCACCGGAAGTAGCAGAAGGCTTTACTCCACCCGACGCCGTGGAGCTCTTGACTGCTCCTCCCCCATCGCTCTTCCTTGGACCTCCGCGTTGGCCATCAGAAGCTGTTGCAGACCTGGGCTGGCCGCTCTCCCTTGCTCCCCTAGGCTTTGTGGAATAGGCCGCCTTCTCTGGGGCTGATCCTCTGCCGCTCCCACTCTTAGGAGCCGTAGCCGTTGGGTTTGCACCGGTTGCAGGGGCGGTCCTGGAGGTGGCTGACGATCGAGGAGTTCCCGGACCTGCCTTGGGGGCTGTAGCAGCTGGGCGGGGAGATGCAGCAGAGTCAGAGGTTTTCCTGGGTCTTCCCATTTTTCAAATTCTCGTTCTGCAAATTATCAGAAGAAGGGAGAGGGAGGGAGGAAGAAAAGAGTTAAGTCAGATGGAGGGGCAGCTAGGAAATCGTTTTTCTAATATTTCTGCTTTGCAAGTTGTTTGCATCTGCTGCCTTTTATTTATCAATGGTTGAAAAGACAAAAAAAAATCATCCACAGATAATCATGGAAAGTCCTTGACTTACAACTGTTTGCTTAGTGACCATTCAATACAGGGGTGGGCTGCTGGGGGTTCGGGAAAACCTCTAGCTAAGACTCTGTGCAGTTTGGAGAACCCCCAAATCCCACTCCTGGGCTGGCCCCACCCCGGAGTTTCCACGCGGCCCGTTTTGGATGCAGGTGAGTGCAGGGTGCGCGCGAGACTCGGGGAGGGTGAAAAATGGGCCTACCAGAAGTTTGGGAAGGCTGGAAAGAGGGCCTCCGGAGCCTGGGGAGGCCATTTTCACCCTCCCGGAGGCTTGAAAAAAAGCCTCCAGAGCCCAGGGATGCCAAAAACACTCCCCCCACATAGTGCAGGAGGCCAACTAGGCCACACCCACCATGGCAATGCCCACCCAGCAACCTGGCAGAGAACTCCTTGCTAAAATTTTTGAAGCCCACCCCTGGTTCAATGTTACAACAGCATTGAAAAAAGTGCCTCGTATTCAAGTTTACAACCTAAGTGTTGGAGATGTGAATGTGAAGATGCTACGTATTATCATATATGGTGAACATGTAAAAAAAATTAAGGCTTTTTGGATAAAAATATGGTGGATTATTCAAAATATTTTAAAGAAAAAGATAAAATTTACCCCACAGGTTTTTTTTGGTTGGGCATAGTTACAGACTGTACGGTTATAGAGACTAAGCTGATTTTAAATTTAATAACAGCAGCTAGACTTTTGGTGGCGCAGTCCTGGAAGAAGGAAGATTTACCTACGATTGAGGAATGGACATTAAAAGTAGTGAACCTGGCAGAGATGGCAAAAATTTCAGCGTATTTGAAAGACCATTCAAATGAAAGATATATACTGGAGTGGAGAAAGATGGATTGAATATATTCAAAACAAGTATCAGACTAAAAAGCTTCAAATAGCCTATGAATGAAACATTCAACTTAGTTTTTAGTTTATGTCTATGGTTTGTTTTTGAACTATGTGGAGTTAAGGACCAAGGGAGAATTTGGAGTCTATAAAATGTTAGCACATTTTAGTTTATGATTGTTAAATACCATACCCTATATTTGCTCTGGGAAGTCCGGGGAGGGGGGTGGGAGAGAAAATGTTTGTATCTTTGATAAAACTTTTTAATAAAAAAAAAGAAAAAAGAAAAAAGTGACTCGTGAGCATTTTTCAGTTACGTTTCCAGCATCCCCCGTGATCGCAGGATCAAAATTCAAAGGCCTGGCAACTGAGATGATACTTATGACGGTTGCTGTGTCCCGAGGTCATGTGACTGCTCTCTTTGAGACCCTCCTGACAAGCAAAGTCAATGGGGAAGCTAGATTCGCTTAACAACACCCGGGGTTACCCACTTATGACCTTCAGGGATTCACTTAAACAACTGAGGCAAGGAAGGTCGTAAAATGGGGCAGAATTCACGTAACAAATGTCTCACTTCTCAACAGAAAACGGGCTCCATTTTGGTCGTAAGTTGAGGACTACCTGCACAAGAGGTGGAATGTCAGAACTTCCCCCTCACACACACTCTTTCCTTTGCTTGGGGGGGGGGAGGGAGAGGAGGAAAACTGATTGGGAGGGGGAAGGAAACTTCGCTGTTCACCATGCCTGCCAGAGACAAAACTTCAAGGACAGCCAGCTATGAGAGAATGCAGCTGCGTACCAAGGACAAATCATTCCAAAAACATCTGGTTTGACCGTGATTGGACAAACGTGAACCAAGGGGGGGCAGGGAGGGGTAAGATTCTCTGGAAAAGGGGAGGGGGGAATTACACTTAGGAATTTGACACCCCAAACTTCAGATCTTATTACTTATTACTATAACCATGTTGCTTCTATCTTTCAATTTATATTGTTTTTGTTTCCTAGTACGATTTGATAGCTTATTACCGTGATGGCAAACCTATGGCACGCGTGTCACAGGTGGCACGTGGAGCCATATCTGTGGGCACGTGAGCGTTGTCCTAGCTCAGCTCCAGTGTGCATGCGCGCACCAGCCAGCTGATTTTTGGGCCTTACGGGCCCACTGGAAGTCAGGAAATGGGCCGTTTCTGGCCTCCGGAGGGCAACTGGGTGGGGAAGGCTGTTTTTGCCCTCCCCAGGCTCCAAGAAAGCCTCTGGAGCCTGGGGAGGCAAAAAATGGGCCCACTGTGCCATCACGTGCCAAAAGTGGGGGGAACGCGGGGGGGGGTCACGCATGCATGCATGAAGAGCGGGGCGCACTGAATTACAGGTGTGGGCACGCACACGTGCAACCCCCCCACGATCCCCATGCTTTTGGCATGTGACAGCAAAAAGGTTAGCCATCACTGGCTTATTAGTAACCTTGACTATCACTAAGTGTTGCATCTTTTTATTCTTGATGAATGTATTTTATTCTCCTTATGTACACTGAGAGCATATGCACCAAAGACAAATTCCTTGCGTGTCCAATCACACTCGGCCAATAAAGAATAAAGAATTCAATCTGGCTTTGCTTTACTGTACTTCCCTTGACCCAAAGGAGCTTTTTCAAGAGGCCACTGGACTTTGTTTTTTTTTTTCCTTTGAAGGCCTTTCGCTTCTCTCATTCAAGAAGCTTCTTCAACGGCAACGATTCACTGAACCACCATGGCTAGCAAAGTCGTAAAACGGAAGCAAAACTCACTTAACCAATGTTTCACTTAGCAACATTAAAAGTCTGGGCTCAACTGTAGTTGTAACCCGAGGACTACCCATACTGCTTCTCTCCAATGACTGAATCCATTTTAGCCAATCTAACACCAGCTGCAATTTAACTGTAAAAATCGGTGCCTAAGTTTGCTTTTTCTCCCCTCCCTCTTTCCCTTATTTTTGATTTGGGTCTTGTATAAGTCTGCAAGTAAGCCGGATAGGATAGGATAGGATAGGATAGGATAGGATAGGATAGGATAGGATAGAATAGAATAGAATAGAATAGGAATAGGAATAGAATTTTTGCTATGTTGCTAAGTAATTCATAGCATCCCGGATTCCTGAGGCACATGTGCTTTAGAATAGAATAGAATAGAATTCTTTATTGGCCAAGTGTGATTGGACACACAAGGAATTTGTCTTGGTGCATACGCTCTCAATAATTGAAGGCTTATTTAAACCACTCTAGAAGCCTTTTTCAACCAGCTTCAGGGCAAGCCTACAGCATTGTAAATGAGATTGCATACATCGCACATGTAAGCAAATTGGAAAGAGGTGGACACACCCCTCCTGTGCATGCACAAAGAGTCATTTTCCTCTGAAAGCAGTGGAACCTTCAACAATCTGCGACACACACACACACACCAATTCTACCTGACTGCAAATAAAAGAACAGGCTGTGTTCACAAAAATGAACACTTTCCTGAACGTTGTATATCTCTAGCGTGCTTCCAGAGTATTGCCTGCTTTATAACCGGCTTTTGATTCTCTGAATAGCTGGACTACTGCTCCCCTTCAGAGTCCTAAGGGCCGGATGACCGCAAATGATTTGAATCCTTCCATCCCCCGCCATTCAATCAGAACCAAAGAAGCTTCCTGGATGAGAAGTGAAACGTTTTCAAGGAGAATAACTTCAGAAAAGTCCAGTTGAAAAAGTACCTTTGAGCTCCTATTTGCCTTCGCCGACAAGGTTGTTGTAATCACACTGGTTCTGTAGCACAGGCTCCCAATCTGCCTTGAAAATACTGGTTTGAGGAGAACTGCCTTAACAAAACCCTTTTGGCCTCATTCTTTTTACTCTCTTGTGGTTTAAAATCCCAAAGGGGCTGAGGATTAACTCCAGATAATGGGAACAGAGCAGTTTTTCTAAGAGCCTGCAGGGAACTCTGCGTTGTAGATCTCATCAAAACAGGTTTATATATTTCCAACATACAGGTAGTTAGTTATTTTCCAGGAACTAACTAGGTTTGCACCTCAAAAGTACGGTTTGAATAAGCCGCTGTTAACTACCGTATTTTTCGGAGTATAAAACGCACCAGAGTATAAGACGCACCTACCTTTTTTGGTGAGGAGAAGAAGAAAATCTCCCTCTGCCTCTGAGCAATTTTGCCTCGTTACAGCAAACAGCCTGCTTTTACTTTCATTTTTGTTTTCTGCATAGCTTGATTAGCACAAGGAAAAAGAAAACTGCTCCAGCAATTTACCTCTTTGCAGCAAGCAGCAGAGGCCTGCGCAAAACAGCTGAGAGCAAATCAGCTGAGAGTCAGAAGGCCAATCCAATCAACTTGTGCTAATTAGGCTGTGCTGAAGCTGAAAGGAGCTGTTTTTTCTTGCTCTTTGCTTGCAAGGAGGTAACTGCTGGGAGGCAGAGGCCAAAGGGTGGGGGCCAGTGGGTGGGCGGGGCTACATTGTGCGTATAAGACGCACCTAAATTTTCACCCCCTTTTAGGGGGGAAAAGGGTGCGTTTTATACTCCGAAAAATACGGTAAGTGCAGTTAGTCCTCGACTTACAATTCTAATGGGACCCGTCTGTCATGGTTGTAAGTTGTTAGAGCAAGACAAATTACCCCCAAAACTGATACAACAGTTCAACTACTTGTTTTGCAACCATCGTTAACCAACTTTGCCGAAAAATGGAAGGAAATGTCAGGTTTTAGCAAAAATATTGTAAAACTATAAATGCAGTCATGTTACCATGGGGAGGGCAGGGAAGAAGAGACAGCTATCAGAACCTCATCGTAAGAATTCCCAGGGAGATCCATTTTCAAATGCTAAGTAACTTGTCATCAGTGGACGACTATTTGTACACGCATTGTACGGGTAGTCCTCAACTTATGACCACAATTATGTGGCTAAATCAAATATTTGGGAAGCACGCTTTGCCCCATTTTCTTACCACATTTGTTAAGTGAATTGTTTTGCAACCTTTCTTACCACATTTAAGTGAATTTACTGCAGTTAAGTTAGTAACACAATTATTAAGTACGGTACGTGGGGCTTCCCCCATTGATTGTACTTGTCAGTTCACAAAAGGTGATCATGTGACCGGCATGAATATGAACCAATTGCCAAGCATCCAAATTTTGATCACGTGACCAGGGATGCTGCTGCAACAATCATACTAAAAGCAGTCTTAAGTCACTTTTTTTCAGTGCTGTTGTAACTTCAGATAAATTATTAAAAGAACTACGGTTCTTTTAATAATTTACTTATTAAAGTAAATTAATAAGTTACTTTACTTACAACAGTTCATTCAGTGACTGTTGGAAGTTACACCGACACGGAAAAAAGTGACCGTTTTTCCATTACAACCTTTACAGCAGCCCCATGATCATGTGATCAAAATTCAGATGCTTGGCCATTGTTTCGTACTTATGACCGTTGCTGTGTCCCGGGGTCATGTGATTTTGCGACCTTCTGATAAGCAAAGTCAATGGGGAAGCCAAATTCACTTAACCGTGTTACTAATTTAACAACCGGCGTGATTCACTTAACCGACTGTGGCAAGAAAAGTCATGAAATTGGGGCAAAACTCACTTCATGGATGTCTCACTTTGCAACGTAAATTTTGGGCTCAACTGTGGTCCTAAGTCGAGGACTACCTGTACTATGCCACAAATCATGTCTCCATATTGTTCTTTGTGGGTTTGCATTAGGCTTGTGGCAAAAAGGAACCCAATGACCCTGAAGCTTCCTGTGATCTGGGAGGAGGATTATCTCCCCTGAATCTAATCGTAGTACAAATTGCATTTAACAAGATTTAAAGAGGTGAAGCAATTGCCTATGGCCTTGACATTCTCAGTGAGTACATTCAGGCAATACTTTTACTTATTGCAAAAACTCCTGGGCTCGGTTCACGCACAACTCCAAAATATATCTTGTCCTGCCATTCTGTTGGAAAGGGGGGGGGGGGGGGGAAGGCTTGCTAGCATTTTTTGCATGCTTTTGCTCTAACCGCTTGGGAATTAGGGAGGGGGGATTGTCTTCCAAACTCCCTCTCAGCCGGTTCCAGCCTGGTTCCAAGGCCATCGTGCCCTGAGACTGACCTGTTATCTGCCTAGCACCTCAGTGTTCTCAAAACATCCTTGCAGCATCAGATGGACGGGAGGGTGTGTGTGTGTGTTGGGTTTTGGGGAAACAGAAGAATTGCTAAAACTTCTTTTGATTCAACTCAATGGAATCCAGAGTTTTGCTTTCCTGAGGGGCCAGCTGAGGCACGTCCCAACTTACACCAACTTAGCTCAATGTATAAAGCCACAGTAACATTTAACCAAAGTTTAAATCTTACCAAATGGAATACTATGCCAATGCTGGTAAAATATAACCCATGGTTTATAAGCCTCAGTGGAATTCACTGAAACCCAATAAAGTGCATTATGACTCACAAGCACACACACACAAAAGGACTTGATTCACTCCTCCCTGCAAATACCAAGGCTTCATTTCCCAGAATTCCCCAGCTAGTGTAGCTGCTGCCAAAAATATTAGCTGCTGAAGTTCTACTCCTGTATATTTGGAGCATAATAAAATGCCACACACACCCCCTTTGCAAAGCGAAATACAAAAATGCCTTTTCTCCTTTTCCATCACCAGGAAAGAAAGGAATCTGAGAAAAGCTCCCTCTGTGAGCAAGATTTCTTCAAATGAGATGCACAGTAGACCTGGGAGAAAATTTCCCTAGAAGAAACGGCACCTGAGATTTATATATACACTTTAAAGGAAAATATTTGTAGCTCAGGGATGAAATGAGGGGTCCTTGGTGATTTCTGAGCTTGTTTTCTTGCAGACATTTCATTACCCAACTAGGTAACATCATCAGTGCTAGTTAAGGAGTGCTGTTTCATCTCAAAAGGTCTCAGCATTCTTTACTACCTGCACTGATGATGCGCAAGAACATGTATTCTTTTGGCTGTTGTCAGACTCCCATGATTCCATGTAGGGGTCATAGCTGGCTATAGGCAAAGTTTGGTTGAAGTTTCTCAGGATGATGCAATGAAGGGGGCTTGTGTTCTGAAAGGGTGTTGGGCAATTCCTATTGTGGTTTAATGGCTTTTCTCTGTGTTGGATCTTGGGTGAGGGTATTTGCTTATGAATAGAGCTATCTATCTCTTTATCTCTTAAGTGCTGACATCTGCTGTGGGCTGTTAAGAAAAGGTGGGGGCTGCTTTCTCCCTCTAAAAAAAACATGTTTCTCCATTTCTCATCCAGGGAAATATAATAGTCTGCCTTTTTAATATTTCTCAAAATATTTCATCCTTCTAGGAGCAGGGTGGGTGCTAATTTTCTACAACGGTTTACCACGTCTCCCTCCAAAGCTATTCATGAAAACTAAAAAAAAAAAAAAACACCAACCCATGTTTTCATTCTGTAGGAAGTTAAAAACCACCCCACTCCTTAGAAAATGAAATACCGTATTTTTCGGAGTATAAGACGCACCTACCTTTTTTGGTGAGGAAAACAAGAAAAAGAAATCTGACTCTGCCTCCCAGCAATTTTGCCTCCTTGCAGCAAACAGCAAATAGCCTGCTTTACTTTCATTTTCAGCATAGCTTGATTAGCACAAGGGGAAAAAAAATCTGCTCCCAGCAATTTACCTCCTTGCAGCAAGCAGCAGAGGCCTGCGCAAAACAGCTGAGAGCAAAACAACGGAGAGTCGGGAGGCCCATCCAATCAACTTGTGCTAATCAGACTGTGCTGAAGCTGAAAGGAGCTGTTTTTTCTTTTTGTTTGCTTGCAAGGAGGTAACTGCTGGGAGGGGGCCAGTGGGTGGGCGGGCATACATTTGGTGTGTAAGACGCACCTAAATTTTCACCCCCTTTTGGGGGGAAAAAGGTGCATCTTATACTCTGAAAAATACAGTATTTTAGGAAATATTAAAAGGGAATAATATTTCCCCCTAAAAGGCAGACAGAAACTCATCCCCCCTCACCTTTGTCAATGGGCCATTAAGGCCTGAGCCAGCCAGCTCATCTGCAACACAAAAGACATAATAGGATCCATCTAGCAACAGAAACTCATCACATAGCACCTGGGAAGAAGCAATGCACTCTCAGCATATCCTCTGCTCAGGAACTCAAGCCATGTGATCCTGTTCATCATTAAGCCATCTTCCAGGTGGACATATCTTCTAACAATTCAACGTACAAAAAACCTATAAAGTCTTCCAACATTCTGCACTTGATAAACTTTTTGGGAAGGCAGAAAAAGGTAAAAACCAAAGGCAAAGCTTTATAGTAGTTGGAAATTCAATGTACTATACCTATTATTTTTATATACGTAAATATATAAACTACTTTTTTCGTAGTTCACGTAAAAGGCAAAATTAAGACATTAATACAAAGAAATATGATCGTGAAGAAAGCATGCTTCTGTATCCAACTCTCATCACACTGCTCACCCCACTTTCTTGCCTGCATGTATTCCAAATAGCTGTGAGAAGGAACGCAACTAAATTTTAAAAACTTTTTTCTGCATTGCAAAGACTTACCTTTTTTTTTTAATTCACAAAGTACAACCGTAGGCTTCCTTACTTAGAAAAGTCGATTCCCTTTGAGGTTTCTTCCAAACAGCTGTAGAAAAGAAACACAACAAAATCTTTTCAACTTTTCTCTTTCTTCATTGCAAACACTTTTCTCGATTCACAAAGTACAACCGTTCGGTAGACTTTGCCACTTATAAATGCCCCTAAATGATTCTTAGTCTGACTTCCAAAATCCCAATTTACCATTTGTTCTTTGTTAAATGTAACCGGATCCAGTTTTGGAACAGCAGCTGCTGGGTGAGGTTTGAGGAGGAACAAAATTAAACATGGGAACAAGGCAGGGATTGGGAGTTCAAAAAGGCATGTCTGGGCATAACCCACTGCATGTTGCTGCAGTGGATCATCTATCGCCAAGAAACAACTGTTTTATATTACAGGTAGTCCTCGACTTACAACAGTTCATTTAGTGACCATTCAAAGTTACATCTTCACTGGAAAAAAAAGGGGACTTTATGACCATTTTTCACACTTACAACCGGTGCAGCATTCCCATGGTCACACGATCAAAATGCAGATCCTTGGCAACTAACTCACATTTATGACGGTTACAGTGACTCTGAGTCATGTGATCCCCTTTTGCAACCTTGACGTAGCTGAGAAGCTACGTCGATGGGGAAGCCAGATTCACTTAACAACAGGGTTACTAATTTACCAACTGCAGTAATTCACTTAACAACTCTACCAAGAACTCTCCTTAACAAATCTGTCACTTAACAATAAAAATTTTGGGCTCAATTATGGTCGTAAGTCAAGAACTACTGTGTTTCCCCGAAAATAAGACCCTGTCTTAAATTTTTTTGAACCCCGAAATAAGCACTTGGCCTTATTTGTTTATTGGTTCGATTTATATACCGCCCTTCTCCGGAGACTCAGGGTGGCTTACAATGCTTTTAAGCAATAGCCTTCATACTTTTGTATATACCTGCTTAGTAGGGCTTTTGCCCCCCCCCTAAGCGGTGTTATTATTTTGGGGTACATGGAGGAAACCAGAGGAAATGGCAGGGACCAGCTGCGCATGCGTTTAAATATTTTCGGGGAGGGCTTATTTTCAGGGGAGAGCTTATTTTAGTGCATGCGCTCAAAAGCCCAATTGGGCTTATTATCAGGGGATGTCTTATTTTAGGGGAAACAGGGTATCTGTACATCAAGTTTACACCCAGGTTGAATTCTGCATTGCACCGGTAGTCCTCAATTTATGACCACAATGGAGCCCAAAATTTATGCTGCAAAGTAAAACATTGGTTGAGTTTTTCCCCATTTTACGTCTTTTCTTGCCACGTTTGTTAAATGCATCACTGTGGTTGTTAAGTGAGTAACACGGATGTTAAGTGAATCTGGTTTTCCCCTTGACTGTGCTTCATCAGAAGGCCGCAAAAGAAGATCACACGACCCCAGGACACTGCAACCATCATAATTATAAAGCAACTGTCAAACAGTTGAGGACCCAGATCGTGGGGGCAATAAGCTGACTTTGTATAAATATACAAAAAAGTATGAAGGCTATTGCTTAACGCATTGTAAGCCACCCTGAGTCTCTGGAGAAGGGCGGCATATAAATAAATAAATAAATAAATAATAACAACATCCAAATATAAATCACATGAACATGGGGGTGCGGTTGTTAACTTAGTAACAGTGTTGTTAAGTGAATCTGGCTTCTCCCTTGACTTTGCTTGGCAAAGTCGCAAAAGCAGATCACATGACCTTGGGACATTGCAACTGTCATAAATATGAAACAGTTGCCAAGCATCTGAATTTTGATCATGTGACTATGGGGATGCTGCAATGGTCATGTAAAAAACTGACTTTTTTCAGTGCCATTGTAACTTCAAACAGTCACTAAATGAACTGTTGTAAATCGAGGATTACTTGTATTTTCCAGGTTTAATACCTTTTTTCCCCAAGGAGGGCAGAATGCCAGCTGCCACCTTATGTTTGCTTGGGTTCAGCAACCATGTGGTGACAGACGGCCATGAACTGGAGGGGGGGGGGAAAGGATGGGGGGGGGATGGTTGGAGGAGGAAACCGAAAGTTGGTTGTGTCGCCTGGGAAGCTGCTCCAAGGCCACACCACTGGAAGGAGGAGGGAACCGCACACTGACCGTTATGAAAACAATCTTGCGCAAACTGGATTGCAAGAGGCAGATAAGGAGGGAGAAAAAAGCAGGACTTAAAGTGATTTTGGCGAGCGAATCTCAGTTGTGGCATTTATTTATTTATTTATTTATTTATTTATTTATTAATTATTGGTTCAATTTATATGCGCCCTTCTCCGGAGACTCAGGGCGGCTTACAATGGGTGAAGCAATAGCCTTCATACTTTTGTATATACCTGCTTAGTAGGGCTTTCGGCTCCCCCAAGCGGTGTTCTTTTTTATACAAAGTCAGCTTATTGCCCCCACAATCCGGGTCCTCATTTTACCTACCTCGGAAGGATGGAAGGCTGAGTCAACCTTGAGCCTGGTGAGATTTGAACTCTCAGTAATTGCAGGCAGCTGGTGTTACTTAACAGCACTTTAGTCCGCTGCACCACCAAGGCTCCTTGCAGGCAGTCTTCTACTTAAGAGGACAATTGAACCCAGAATTTATGTTGCTAAGAGAGAAATTTGTTCAGTGACTTTTGCCCCATTTGAGACATTTTCTTGCCACCCTTAAGTAAATCACTGCAGTTGTTAAATTAGGAACACGGTTGCGAAGTCATTGTTGGAAGAAACATCCTTCTAGGTTCTGCTCCAAGTGGGGAAAACAGACACTGGAAACATGGAGACTGCTTGGAAAGATGATTTAATGGTGGACAGGATCACATGGCTTGAGTTCCTGAACAGAAAAGGGGCAGATACAGTAAATCCTCGGGTTTTTATGCTCTCCCTGGCTCTGCATTTCTTGGGGCCCCAAAAGAGTATCCTGATTGGTTGTCAGACTCCCAGGGGTTGGGGGCCTTGCTGGCTGATGGTCACATGTGCTTCCCAGGTCACATGTGGTGAGTTTCTGCTGCTATTGTGTAGAGGGCTAATCCTATCTGGCAATTCCTACTATGGCTCTGCCTGAAGGAGGTGGATCTTTGTTATGTAGAATAGACTGGCCCAGGCCTTAATGGCCCATTAACAAAGGGTGGGGGGCAGGAAGGTGGGAGCTGCTTTGTCTGTAAAATATGCTTCTCATATTTCTCATCCAGGGAAATATAATATTCTGCCTTTTTCATATTTCCTAAAATATTTCACTCTTCCAGGAAAGGGGTGGGTGCTAACTTCCTACAAAGTCAATCTGTCTTCCCCACTGACTTTGCTTGTCAGGTTGGAAAAGTCATGAGTCCCCTTTTTTTAGTGCTGTTGTTCACTTCAAACGGTCACTAAATGACTGTTGTAAGTCGAGGACTACCTGTACTGAAATACATTTGACCTCCAATAAAAGTATACCTTTCCCAATGAATGGAGCCGAGGATATTTTTTTACTTAAGAGATTTAAGCTGTGCCAGCTCAAACTGGCAGCTTCAGCCTGGTCCTACAAGCCCAATAAACCCTCTCAGCCCTTGACTCAAAGGGGAGGAGAGAATAGCATCTCCTTCCTTTGGGAATACTCATATTTGTAGAAAAACTCCATCTATTTTCTGGAAGCAGCAGCACTTTTTAAGAACTAAGAATTCAGCATTAAGAATTCGATGTTCTTCATTTGACATTCTCCTTACGACATACAGCTAATTATTTAGTGACCGTTTGAAGTTGTAGGAAGTTAGCACCCACCCCTTTCCTAGAATATTTTGGGAAATATTAAAAAGGCAGAATATTATGTTTCCCTGGATGAGAAATGGAGAAACATGTTTTAAAGACGAAGCAGCTCCCACCTTCCTGCCCCCACCCTTTGTCAATGGGCCAGAGGCAGAAACTCAATCTTTGTCAATGGACCATCATCTGCAACACAATAGGGCCCATCTAGCAACAGAAACTAACACAATAGGACCCATCTAGCAACAGAAACTCACCACATGGCACCTGGGAAGATTACATCAGCCAGCAAGGCGAGCTAAGACCCCCCATCCCCTGGGAGTCTGACAACCATTCAGGATACTCTTTCTGGGCCCCAGGAAGTTCAAAGCCAGAGAGGGCATAAAACCCGGGGACTCACTGCCTCTCGTCCCTTTTCTGTTCAGGAACTCAAACCATGTGATCCTGTCCACCATTAAACCATCTTTCCAAGCAGTCTCCATGTTTCCAGTGCCTGTTTCCCCTTGGAGCTGAACCCAGAAGGATATTTCTTCCTACAAAGTTATGTGACTTATGACCAGTTTTTACACTTATGACTGTTGCAGCAAAGCCCATGGTCACAGAGTCAAAATTCAGACTTGGCAACTGGCATGTATTTATGATGATTGCAGGATCCCGAGGGGGTCATATGATCCCCTTTTGCAACCTTCAGACAAGCAAAATCAATGAGGGAGCTTAACAAGCCCTAACAAGCCCTAACAACCTTTAATAATCTATTAACTAACAACTGCTGTGGTTCACTTAACTGTGGAAGAAAGGTCATAAAATGGAGCAAGATTCTCTTAACTGTCTTGCTTATCAACAAATTTTGAGCTCAATTGTGGTCATAACAAGGACAAATAGGCTGAAAAACAGCTTCTATCCCAGAGCAATAACCATATTGAATTCTACGGCATAGTGCAATATCGGGTTTTCAATTTCAATTATATAGAATGTAAAGGATGTATGTTTGTGTTCTTATTTTTATAGTTATAATGTACACTGAAGACGGCATTTAATTTCATTGTATCATGTGCAATGACAATAAAGTAAACTGTACTAAACCTACATATATGTACATATACATTGTAAATACATATACACATATATACCCATAACATACATATACACATATACACAAAAGTGTGTGTATCTGTGTGTCAGAAACCTGCAAAAAAAGTTGGAAAGAAGGAATGCACAATGCCCACCTCCTCTTTCTCCAGGGTGTAGCTGCTCCCTCCCCAACATGCAACACCTCCAGAACACACCTTCATCCTCCTTCACCAATCCTAGCTTATTCCCCAGATGTAATGAACTGAGTTACTGTCAGCGGGACAATTGCTTGTTTCTTTTCAAGATGGAAACCTCAACAGCCCGTATAAAACGCCCACCTGGTAGGAAGAAGCCCCCCTTCCTAACATCCGGATCTGATTTTTCCGCCTTCAGTTTCTCCTGCCATTACCTACGGTGGGGGGGGGCAGATCCTTTAACCTGTCCCATGGATGCATTGGAAAAACACACCCAGAAACTACAGTTAAAGTCCATGAACATCGTATTTTAATTATTCCAAAGTAAGCCCCATCGTTTTCTCTCTCTCTCTCTTGGATGGGAACTAGTGGTCGCTAATTTTAATATTGAGATTTTATATATATATAAAAAATACACACACACATATACACACATGCACACACACACATACATATATATATATATATATACACATAGACATATCAATCAATCTATATAGTGTTGGAAGATATGATTCACTCTTCTTCTAGAAAAAGGAAAAGAAACTCAAAAAATATTAAAAGAGCAGGAAAATTCTCCTAAAAGAAAATAAGCAGAAACTCAGTCAGAAGTTTCAGCCCCCACTTTTGTCAATGGGCCATTAAGAAGCTAAAGCCACCCTATTTTCCACAACAAAGGAAGAACAAAATTACAGGGGCCTGCAACATCCAAACAGGTATGGGACACAGAAAAAAAGCAAACACCCAAAAAGGAAAAGAAATCAAGCCAAAGTAATTAGAATTATAAACACATGAGAAAAGGAGATATTCACTAAAACACAGTAATAGCAAACTGATTAATTATAGGGAACGAACAACTACAAAGGGCTCGGAAAAACAGACATTGGACTATAAAACAATTACTTATTTGCCAGATCCAGGACAGAAGAACCCAATCACAAAAAAGCAGGATTTAAACACCACAAAACAATCACACACACAAATCAAAGGATTCACATGCCAAATCAAAAGAATCTCAAAAGACTTTAAAGGGTCACATGGAAAATCAAAAGACGTTTTAGGATATAAAAAAGGGTTACTCTTACAGTTCAAACAGGCTAGCCTCGGAACGCTGTGCTTGTATTTGTTTCTTCCCTGCCTTCCTATAAACAATAAACTAATTCTGCTCTCAAGCAGCTGACCTCCAATCATTTCGAAGTTATCTCCCAGGCGGGAGTTTTGAATTCAAGAAGGGAAAGCTCTGCCTTCCAACAATCCTTAGAGAAAGGCTTCTTTTTCCTTCCAACAATAGCAATATCTAGCTTGCTAGCTCTCTAGCAATAATTATTTATATGTATGTGTGTATGTATGTATGTATGTATGTATGTATATTTCTCTTTAGCCAGGTTCTTCCTACGTAAACCAAGATTTTTTAAGCAGCCCTGGTTCAGT